AGACTCAGATTTGAGAGCTAAGGTGGAACCAACAGGATTCGATGCCAAGGCATGGGTGAGAGAGAAGTAATGTCAATGATGATGCCAGGGCTTTAAACCTGGAACCTCAGGACAAATCAGATCATGTCAGTAGAGACAGGGACCATGAGACTAGGAAAAGATTGAAGATTATGAGGTCACTTTGGGAAAGATTCCTGTGACAACTTCTTGAGGTGACTTTTCTAGGTGCACAGCTATCTTGTCAATGTTTTAACCAAAAGTAATAAACAAAGTGCTAGAAAATCAGTTGTGAAAACTCAAAGAGTACAAAATTTTAATGCCCACAGAGACAGATGGAGCAATTGTGATGATTTGAGCATGAAAGAAATACCAGAAAAGAAGGCTTCTGGTTCTTAACCTATTAATCATTTCTCAATCAGTTTAGTTGGCAGTCATGTACAAAGCATTCTCTAGACAATCAAATTCCACATCTTTCTTATTTTCTAGATGCAACTAAATATTTTCACATCTTTTAAAAAATTATCATTACCAAGGATTTGTGGTGTTCCTGGAGACTCATAGAGCACCTGCTATCAACAATCCTCCACAATCATCGCCTCTCGGAGCAGCCAAGCATAAGCACATGCATCTCCATCCATGAGGACTAGGCCAGGAGCAGGTGAGCAACGCCTGCCGGGAGTTCTACTACCCAGAGCATGGCATCCAGCCCAATGGCACGATGCCCAGCAACAAGCCCCCAGAGAGCAGCAATGACTCCTTCAACACCTTCAGTGAGACAGGCGCTGGCAAGCACATGCCTTGGGATGTCATAGATAGGGTAACAAATGATATCACAGATAGGCTAACAACTGGCATTTATATGCAGCTCTTCCACCGTGAAGTTGATATCTGGCGAGGAAGATGCTGCCAACAACTATGCCCATGGCCACTATAATGTGGGGAAGGAGATCATCAATCTGGTGCTGCAGCGAATCTAAAAACTGACTGCTTGTGCTTGGTGCCTGTGGCTCAAGCAGCTAAGGCACCAGCCACATACACCTGAGCTGGCAGGTTCGAATCCAGCCCGGGCCCGCCAAACCACGACAGCTGCAACCAAAAACTAGCCGGACGTTGTGGCGGGTGCCTATAGTTCCAGCTACTTGGGAGGCGGAGGCAAGAGACTCGCTTGAGCCCAGGAGTTGGAGGTTGCTGTGATCTGTGATGCCATAGCACTCTACCCAGGGTGACAACTTGAGGCTCTGTCTCCAAAAAAAAAAAAAAAACACTCACACACAAAAAAACTGGGTGCTTGTTAAATGGGTTCCAGTCTGAGGTGTTGCCTGGAAATCTGTATTTTAACAGGATGCTGCCACCACCACTCCTAGTGTCCTGCAAGTGGCAGACCAGCAGGGCCGAGAGGGGCCCACCTCTGATGCAGATCCCATGTCCTGCTTCACCCTGGCACTCCATCTATACAGCACTGCCCATCTAGTCTGAGGGTAAAGCAAGTTTCTACATCTTAAGTGGTCTGGTTATATGCTTGTTAAGTCATTCATTGGACATAAAATATACACACTTAAGTATAAAAAATTATTACCAGCTGGCCGATTACTGACCTCACGCCACTCAGGGGCCCAGTCACCAGAGAGAATCCAGTTTACGTGAATTAAGTGGCAGTGGCCCCATACAGCCATTTTTTAGCAACCATGAGGTTTTACTCATCTTTTCGAAATCATGCAATAATCTCTAATCACACAATAATCTCTCTCCTCCATTTTATAGCAAATGGTCTACAAAGCAATTAATGAACAGATCCTCTTTAGAACCAATTACTCCTCTTAAATATACAGTGACAGGACTTTTCTGGCCCCAGTAATTATTCAAAGTGCAGGGACTGTTCTCTGTAGAAAAAACTGAAATTATCAGCTTACCCTCTTCCTCAAGTTGTAGGTAAGAATCAGGTTCCGGGAGAAGGAGTGGGAAAAGGCTGTGTAGAATTCCAACACTTTCTGCAGGGCATCCCGTTTGATCACATGCAGGTCACAGTAGGTCAAAGCCCTAACATTGGCACAGGACTGGGCTAGGGTGGCTTCCTTCCAGAACACATCTCCAAACACGTCTCCTTTCCCTAAGGAGAGAAGGTTGTCATAAGAAAAGTGCTGGCCAGGGGGGCCTGGCCATCCACTGGCTTCCCTCTGCTCCCCAGAATGGCAGTACATATGGCATTCTGCAGCTTGGGCTTAGAAAAGGCAAGAACAATTTTAACTTGAACCTTAACAACATGCTATTCAAGAAACTTTAAAATATCACATAACACATGTCAAAGTTTGAGCAACAGCTTTGAGATCATTAATGTCACTTCTTTGAGAGGTTATCTTGATCATTTATCTAAAATAGGACATCCCTCATTATTCTTTATGATATCCCCATTTTCTATAACACTAATTGTAATGTGTAATTATACTGTTTGTTTGCTAGGTTATTATATGTCTCCCAAGCTTGAGAGTTCATGTGTTACTGCTTCATGTAACACAGTACCTGTCACATAGTAGGAGCTCAGTCAATATTTGCAGGCAGATAGGAAGGAAGGAAGGAAGGTAAACTGTGGGTCTACATTGCTATGACTCACAGACAGGTGAGTATTTAGGCTGCTAACAGGGCGAGTGTGGATTCTTCATTGGGGAACTAAAGAGCAGAAGAGGTTTCCTTTGTCTGGGATAATTTACATGGAAGAAGTCAAGAAGGTATAGGGTCCCTTCCGTCCCCTACCCTATCTATTGCCTCAAGGATTAAATTTGTATGGCATCTCCTTTCCAGAGGATGTCTCTTACTCTTGCTAAAATATGGGCCTTATATAAATGGCATCTCCTACTACTCCACAAGAATACATCTAAGAAGGCAATGGATCAATCCTATGGACTGAGTGCTTTTGTCCCATGACAAATTCATATGTTGAAATCCTATCCTCCAATGCAATGATATCAGAAGATGGAGCTTTGGAGAGGTAATTCAGTGATGAGGCTGTAGCTTTCGTAAATGGCATTAATGACCTTAGCAGAAGGGAACCCAAAGGCCTCTCTTGTGCTCTATCCATACATGAGGATACAATGAGAAGCTGGCAGTCTGCAACTTGGAAGAGGGCCCTCACCAGAACCTGACCATGCTGGCACCTGATCTTGGACTTCCCTCTTCCAAAAGTGTGAGAAACAAATTCCTGTTGTTTATTAGCCACCCTCCCAGTCTATGGTATTTTGCTATGACAGCCCGAACCAAGCCAAATACTAATCTCCCATGGCCATATTCTAGGTCAAACTTCTATCAATCATCTCTAAAGATCTGCTTTCCACACCTAAAGATATTCTTCCCACCTTTCCCAGTAAGCAACATTTTAACATATGTCTAATGCAAAAGCTAATTTATTCCTGGCACAGCCTCTGATTATAAATAGCTTAAATTTTGTTTATCTTGCCTCTAAATTTTCAGCAAAGATAAACACAAATTTAAATCCCCAGGGAACCAGAGAGAAGTATGCAGGGGGAAGAAAAAAACTGCTACAAAGGGCAAAAAGTAATGTATTCAAGGGAATTTTCAGCCTATGCATCCAGATCAGCCAAGCTCCACAGCTGGAAGTTAGGTACCTGTAGCTCAGTCTGATTAACAGGGCAGCTGTTTTTCTTAATTCAGGCTAAGGAGGTAATTATACTTTCAAGCACATGGATAGAACTTCACTTTTCCGCAAACATCAGGAAGTGTCTAAGTATATAAGGTATTCCTTGGGCATAGCCTTCTCTAAACCCCTCCAAAACATAAGCTGAAAAACAAATGTACTAGATACATTAATCCACAGTTCTCTATGTGTTCCAATATATGAAGATGGTTTTACTGACCCAATGTGAGTGGGATACCTACTTTGGAAGCTTCTAGGTAAATCTCCCTTTAGAACTATGCTATTTATAGTTTCCTTATCAAGTTTTTCCAAACATCTGGAACATGGAAGGGCTAATTTAGCCTGGGGCAAGTCAATAGGAACAGTTTTTTCTAAGGGATGCTAACTGGCTTCTACAGATTTAAGTTCATGCTTTATGTACTCCCTAGTAATGAGTTCTAACCAAGAAGGCTGGCCAACGCATGTATACCTATTACGCATTCTGTAACTTCCCTATGCTTCTCACAGTAACTGACATGCCCTTCATAGAGAATGCTCTTCCTCTGAAACATTATGGTAGACAGTTAAAAGATGGACTCTATCCATTCTTTTCCCAACTACATATATGTGCTGCAATTCACATCAAGATGTGCAGTCCAGTTCCCTTCCCCTCAAATCTGGGCTAGCCTTAGTCACTGGCCTTAACTAATAGAGTATAGCAGAAGTGATGTTCTAGAATTTTGAGGTGAGGACATAAAAAGCCATGAAGCTTCTGCCTGAGTCTTTTAGAACACTCTCGGGACATTCCCTCAGGGACCCATATGGGAAGCACCAGCTACATAAGGGGTCACAAGGTAACTATTTTTGTCTATAGCCCAGCTGAGCCCTCTTGGTCATCTGGACCAGTCCAACCTTCAGATGAAGGCAGCCCCGGCCAAAGCCTGACTGTAACCACATTTGGGAAGCACAGGTAAGAGCCAACCAGCTGAGTTAAACAACCCACAGAAGGGTTAGAGATAATAATAAATTTCTTAAGCCACTAAATGTAGGGGTGGTTTGCTACATGACAATAGGTAACCAGAATATACATACATAGAATCATGGAGCTCTAGGCTAAGACACGAGAATTTATCTGGTAAGTTACCTAATATTACATCAGAACATCACAAATCATCCCAGCTCTGAGCTGGCATTCCTTCTTTCCCTGAAAGATGAGACAAGAAAGAGTAAGGAGTGGCTCTAACAGGAGCAGATTTTCCTGGGTAAGCATTTGGATTATCAGTGAGAAAATGTTGAACTTACAAAACGCACAGTCTTCTACTGGGTAAAAACATAGTCTACAACTAAATTAAAATCACTGAGAGTAGAAATGAATTGCTAAGATTATCCCCACTTAAATAAGACCCAATATATGAGCATTATACATTTCAAATGAACATGGGAATACTTTAATAAGAATTCATGAAGTAAAATAATAGTACCTTATGTACTATTCAATGTATGAATTTATCCAAAAAATTCAGTTTATAAACAACTCTTCAAAGACATACCTTCTACATAAAGGGTAACCATATTGTGATTGGAACGTATCATGAAATAAATAATTACATCTTTAGAAATGACAACCTTCCCATTGTAAGACATTTTCTAATCAAAGGTTTTGACAGAAACAATAAACGGTGAGTAGTTCCTACTACAAAAAGAATTTCATGGTAAGATAATCATGATTAAACTGTGGGGCCTAAGAGTCTCACAGTGTTGTCATAACTTGAATTTGATTTTTAACACAAATTGAAAATCATACAATTTTGTTTCCTGTCAAGACAGCATTTGGGGTATAAATTATCTGTTAGTGAGGTTTAAGAATGTGGTATCAGAAGACCTGTCAGACTCAAAACAAACCCAGAACTATTCTGGCAATGAGAAATGTTTTTATCACATGCATAACTTGGGAAAACTGTCAAAAGGAAGGATATGGAGCATTTGGCAGGCTGCCTCTAAGTTACACACACACCACTGGAAGTAATGACTTCCCAGGTCAGGGCTGCGAATCAGAAACCGAGACAAGAGCTACACCCACATTCGTCTCTCATTTGCTAGTGTGTGAAATGATCATTCACTCAGAACAAAAGGTACCCTGATGCACTCAGCAATCAAACTACTGGAGGCAATCAGCATATTGATTTATTTATTACACTGAGGCTCTAAGTGCGGAATGTTAAAACCTAATGTTCCAATTCTCTAAAATACTAACATTCTAAGCAGACCTAAGCTGAGGGAAAGAAAAGGCCAGTGGGGGGAGTAAGGAAAGGCAGTCTAATTAAAACTCCAGGCAAACATCCCAATAATAATTAATCCTCCTCTTCTTCCCTGTCTCACCAAAAATATACAACTGAACCTTCACTTTTGCAGGGGACATAAACAGCCCCGGGGTGGGGGGAGGGACAAAGGTGAGAATGAAGAACATACACAAAACATAGGTGGGAAGCTGGATATAGGGTTTAAGTAGCACAGGGATGGGGAGGGGCTGTCTCTGCAAGCCCTGGAGAAAACCAAGCCCCTGTAAGCAGTTTGGTTTAATGAAGGGCAAAGCCTGGAACAGCCACCTGAGGAGGCTGAAAGGAGATGGATGAGAATAGGGTGGGGCCGATGGGGCTACCAGGGCATTCAAGAGGTGCTGAAACTGGGGCCCTAGAGGATCAAACAGCCTTTCAGAATGTCAAGGAACTGCAGGGAAACAATTCTGATTTGAACCCTACAACTGTATGGAACCCTTTAGAAAAGGCCCTATTTATTCAAAGATAGTATCTGAGTGAGCGTGGTAGGCCTAGGGCATCAGAGCAAAAATGAAATGTTTAATAGCCAAACAGTGTTTCACTATTCTTTATTATTGTGCTTTTAAGAACTACTCACCGTGGTATCTTTTACTTAGCAAGATAAAATCCTGAAGTTAAAATCACTATTTGTTCCTGAGAGCATTATTTCTAGACCCAAACCAATTATAATGAAGTCATTTATGCAACTTCAACCAGGCACGGTTCTAGGGGAATAGTGGAACAACTGATGCAGTGAGGGATGGAGACATAGGAGATTACAACATTTTTGGAGCTATAATCGGGGAGAGTTACCAGCTAAAATTCAAATGGTAAGAGAAATATTCCAAGATATAATGTCTGAGTTGAGGCCTAAAGGAGGGGTTCAAGTTTACCTGCATCACACTGAAGCATGGAGATAATCCCAGGCAGCAAAAACAGCATGTGCGAAGGCCCTGGGGCACAAGGGTCTGGCTCTTCAGCAAAATGGAAAGTCATTCAGCAGCTTCTGAATCACCTCAAATATTTTGAATTATCTGCTCTTTTACTCACTTGTAGAGATGAGTATTGCTGGTTTATATTTTGTAATCCTTTCAGAAACATACATGGTTTCCTTATTTGGCTACAAACTCACCTAAGCACCTTCTCTATTCTGTACATTGAGGTGGA